CCCTCTCTTCCAGATCCTCGCTTCTATGGGCCAAATCACTCTCCTCGGGAGTTATCTCCTTGACTACACCCTCCTCGGCTTTGTTAACCAGACACTCATCCTGAGCAATCTCTTCCGGTTCAGCAGTGTCCAGCTCCCCCCCTTTGCCATTGTCACTACTAGTACCTGACCCCGTCGGCTCGACATTTTTGCAAACACCGACCCTTACTCAATCTCAATAGGGCAATTCAAAGAGGAGAACGAGGACAGCTGACTACCGCTAAAAGTCAGACTACGAGGCTTCTTAGCCCGCAGCTGACTACTTATTGAAAGACCGAACAGGAAATGAAAAGTCGTACTACAACAACTGTAAACATTCCCTCCCCGCTCTGACTTTGATCGACTTGCCCGCACAGCGTCTTTTTTGAGAGAAGAGGTCAAGGGGCTAAGTGACTCTCGAAAGTTGTCTTTTGTATCGCGTCAAGAGAAATGACATAGATAAGATCATTGCTTAAAGAGTTTCATTGTCGAATTGATCTCGGAATTTGATCCCAATAGGAGCTGCTGCCCAAAGGTGCTTTATGAAAGCCGATCCACAGCAGTGAAATCGATCGAACGAAAACCGCTTCTTTTTTATTTTCCTCTCTGGCTTGACTACTCTGCTTGCTTAACACAAGTCTTCACCACTTCACTACCCAGCAAGCTCCGGCTCGAAAGCAAAGTCTAAAAGTGTTGAAAGAGTGAAGTCTGGGGACAACGGTAAACGTGAGGAATGGGACCTCCAAACCGCCCTACTAAAGAAGTTCGCAAGCAAGGGTGTACGTATCCCAGGTGAGCCAAGAGGTTCAGAGTGGGTGTAGATCAGAACACCTACCTTTCCAACTAAGTCCATCTATTGGTTTAGCCAGCTTGAAGAGGACTATTATCAGTAAAACATTGGTTTGATGGTATTGCATAACTGGAAAATTAGACTGCCTTGGATGTCAATTCTAATTCTAAAGTGGAGTGGATTACTAATGAATTCTACATTTCTCGTGGAAGGCCTTTCCGAGTTTACAAGTACTTAGGACACCGTTTAATTTGTCTTAGTCTACAAAAAACCAAGTTAGTGAGCAGAAACAAAACATGATCATATCTTTTTTAAAGATGTTTGTAATTATAATTAATGTTTACATTTTCTTCTGAAATTGTAAAACTTGAATAAGAACAAGTTCATACAAGAAAATGTTCAGAGCAGCTATACAAAACCTTTTCTAGATGAGCTTCGAAGTTTCTTCTGAGGCTTCAAATTTTAATAGTCGTTTTAGTTGAAATATGAATCCGATCTTGACCATTATTTTCTTATATTTTTTGGGTCACTGTTCAAGCATAGAAATAAAAAGAGTCGTGCTTCAAAGTGAAGTTCTCCTAGATTCCCAAATTATTCTGAGGTTTTTGCACCCTTTTCATATTGTAGACTGACCAATTGAAAATAGATGCTTCCAGGATTACTAATGAGCTGCTCGTGGCTGCCACTTTCGACTACCTCCCCACGCTGTAGGACAGTGATAGTATCGGCACCTTGTACTGTAGACAACCTATGTGCTATCAAAATTGTTGTTCTTCCATGCATAAGCTTATTCAGAGCTTCTTGAACTTGCTTTTCTGATTCAGAGTCCAAAGCACTTGTTGCTTCATCCAAAAGAAGAATAGATGGATCTTTAAGTATTGCCCGCGCAATTGCCACCCTCTGCTTTTGTCCACCGGATAACTGCACCCCATTTTCACCTGCCTGAGTTTGATAACCTTCTGGCATTCGACTGATGAACCCGTGTGCATTTGCTGCTTTGGCTGCCTTCATTATCTCGATTTCTGATGCACCATTATTCCCATACTTGATATTCTCGTAAATCGTTGTAGAGAACAATACTGGCTCCTGCTGCACTAGACTGATTCTCATTCGCAGCGCTTTTAGATTCAAACTCCTGATATCAAATCCATCTATCAAAATTGCACCTGATGTTGAATCGTAAAATCTCAACAACAGAGAAATCACAGTACTCTTTCCTGAACCACTTTGGCCTACAATAGCCACACTCTTCCCTGCTGATACTTTCAAATTCAACTCATTGAAAATGGTAATATCAGGCCTTCTAGGGTACCTAAAACTCACATTCCTGAATTCAATATCTCCCTTGAGATCAGTGACAACTGTTGATGAGGGATTATCAGGGTCTATAGCTGTTTTCCTTTGAAGAATATCGAAAACTGAGGCAAGAGCTTGCGATCCCTTTACAAAGTTAGGTGCTAGTGCAAGCGTTTCTGCCACGGCCAACGCAGTAATGACTAAAACCATGAACGACTTCATTACATCACCAAAGTTTGACTTTTTCTCCTTAATGAGTACAGATGCATACCAAAGACCAAGAGCATATGAAGAATATGCAAAGAACTGTGACACGCCAAAACCAAAACCTGATATGTGGCCTCGTAAGAGAGCATTCTTTTTTGGTCGGTCTAATTCAGCTGCAAATTGGACTGACATCTGCTCTTCAGCACCGAAGGCAGCAACAGTTCGTATGTTAGTAATCGCTTCACGTGCCACTTCAGTAGCTCGATAGTAGGCCCTAGCATAATCACCTCCAAATCCTCTAAGAAATAGTTGCTGCAGACAGAAACAGAAACAGAATAATCACCGCAATTACAGTAGAAAAAATTGGAAGAGATGAATAAGAAGTCATATTTCGTGTCATCTAGGAGAACTTGCCTCGGCTATGAAAGCACCAATTAGTAGAGGAAAGGTAGAAAGCACCACTGATGCAATGCGCCAACTTAGTGCAAAAGCAATCACAAATGCAGTAGCTGCAAGTGCAATATTCTGTACAACTGTCGATAGACGATCGGCAATTGCACTTCGTACTAATGTGGCATCAGTTGCTAACTTTGATGCCAGTGATCCAGTGCTATTCTCATCCTTGTCAAACCAGCCAATCTCTTGGGAAAGGATAGCTGTGATCAGAACAGGAGGCAATTTAATCACAAGTGTGAAACGAAGAAAATGTGGGAAAGAAAACATGAACATTTGTATGGCAATTGAATAGAAAGAAAAGGAAACCTGAGAACGTTGATAAGCGGACTCGTGCAATGAGACGCTCTCCCATTAAGGTATAGAAATAGTGCTGCAATAGATATACAAAGATAGTCACCAAAGCCACTCCAACAAATATGAATGAAACTTGTCGGACCTCCCTTTTGATTTGAGATTCGTCATGAGAATAAAATACAGTTAATATGTGTGTAATTGCAAGGGCAAAAAGAGGAGCCTCCATTCCGGCCAGAATTGCTCCTAATGACCCCAAAACTGCACAGGGCCACTCAGGTGCATTTAGTTTGATTATGTCCCATACTGATGTCGTCGAAACAGTGCTTGGTACCACAAGATTTTGACTACCCAGTTGCAACTCTCCATTGATTGCCTTAAACTTCTGATGGTTTTCAGTTTCCATGTGTTTCTGAGTACTAGAAAGTCCAAATGTCGTACTATTATTTTCCAAATTAGGATTTGTGTTGTGTTCTGACACTTGAAGGCTAACCAGAGATGCATACTCCCCACCTTTAATCATCAGTTCTGAGTGTTTCCCCTTTTCGATGACAACACCATTTTTAAGAACAACTATTGTATCAACATCCCGGATAGTAGATAATCTATGAGCAACAATAATTGTTGACCTGTTTGACATGACTGAATTTAGTGCCTGCTGAACAATGAGTTCTGATTCCGCATCAAGAGCACTGGTTGCTTCATCCAGAAGTAGTATCTTCGGGTCCCTCAATATTGCTCTTGCAATAGCAATTCTCTGCTTTTGACCTCCAGAAAGCTGAGTTCCCCCTTCTCCGACCTATATCCAAAGAACTGTCATACAGGGAACTTGGTAACAGGGTTCCAAAGTTGACATATTTACCTCAAATATTAAAGCTCTTGGAGAGCCAACAGAAAATATATTAAATTTCACTTCTTTTCATAAATATATTGAAGTGTATTCAGTGAGACACGTTGTAACAACAGTGATCATATCCTATTTCAGGGAAAATGTGGCTTCACAAAATACCAACCTGAGTCTGATATCCATCAGGTAAATGCTGAACAAAAGAATGTGCATTGGCAGCTTTAGCGGCATCAATTACTTCGTCCGTATTTGCATCTTCTTTACCAAACATGATATTCTCAGCTATACTTCTGGCGAACAATGCTGGCTCTTGACTAACCAATCCAATCTGTGATCTCAACCACTTTAATTGTAGCTTCCTCAGATCATGCCCATCCAACAGAATAGTTCCTAGCAAATTCCCATTTATGAAAGACTGCTAAGAAACTCATAACTGATCCAAGAAAAGTATATTTATTTTTATCTAACAGCCTTAAATACCTGAAGTGGGATCGTAAAATCGTTGAATCATGGAGATAATAGTGCTTTTCCCTGAACCACTAGGGCCAACAACGGCGAACTTTTTACCAGCACATACCGAGAAGGTCAGATCTTCAAAGACCGTAGTGGGTCGAGAAGGGTAAGCAAAACAGACCTTGCAAAAATTGATATTTCCCTCAACTCTTGGTAACACAATCCCCCCCTCCAAACCTTTAGAAGTGTTAAAATCTTCTTTCACCATGCTTAGGATACTTGCAGCAGCAGCACGACCTTTAGCAATGGCAGCAAGGTTGGGAGCTGCCTGACCAAGAGCACTACAAGACACGGAGTTCCGTTTATGATTGTGGTTAAGATGAATTATGCAAAACAAACTAATTTTCATATTCCTATTACACTTACAATCCACTATAGATGACATTAATAATCGTAACGAACGCTTCTCCACCACTGGTGTCCCCATGCATGACAAGAATACTAGCATACCAAAGGAGTAATGCCCAAGCACAGAAGAGAAGCCCATAAGTAAAGCCTATGCCAACCCCTTTCACAATCCCAGTTTTCTTCGCCAGTTTGAGGGCATTGCCAAGTGACTTGGAGTATGCTTCAACAGCATTTTCCTCTCCAACAAATGAGTACACAGTACGAACATGTGAAATAACCTGATCAAAGATCACAACAGGAGTTACTCAGTGCATTTTTAGTATGAAGTATTGGATAGGACTGCACATTATAATGAACAAAGTTTTAGCCTCTTTTTGTTTCTTAGTAGTGTCCATTCTGGATACATGATATTAAAATTAAATCTTTAAGTTCATCAAGTTCTTGATGAAGTATTAGGAGGATAAATCTTCACTCGAAAAGAGATGTCTGCAATTTACCTCTTCTGCTACCTTCCCAGCTTCAGCGTAGGCAGCTTCACTCTTTTTAGACAAGGTAGACATGATTATTGTATAAGTTCCTCCTGCGATGGCTATTAAAGGAACAATAGCCAAGGTGAGAAGTGTAAGCTGCCACACCATCGTGAACCCTACGGCAAATCCAACTAAGAACTGGGAAAGATAACATAAGCTGTGGGATATCTGCAACATAATTGAGAATAAGNATGCTGTTTCCATTTGGCAAGCCAAATAATTAAAGAATGTTAGCAGTAGCAAACGCAAACTCTATATTAAGGCCCCGTTCGGGAGGGCTTAAAATCCAATTAAAATTGAAAATATGGCCGTTATTGGGTCCCACCCGTCTAATAAAAGTCAATAATAACGGCTAGTTTTTCAATTTTAATCCCTCCCAAACAAACTTTTAAAGTAGCCTAATTCATTAGCATTGCTCATGGCCCGACCCAAAGACTTGGATGACTTTACGGTTATTACCCCACTTGTACTCTTCATATTGGGCCCTATCATTTGACATAAGACCCAAACCTAAAGTTCACCTATTTAACCTCTTGCTCATTACTATTCGTAAGTGTGAAACCGATTCACTTGTTTGCTTTGTGCTTTGTGCCTTTTGGTGATCCATTTTCTCCCTTCTTCCTTAGCCTTAGTGGCTGAAAATTGACGCTACCTACTTCATCACACCGAGTTCTTTGTGGGCTGACTTTTATTGGAGCAACCAATTGGTTTGGGAAGGTGACGGTTTGGGAGTTGACTGAGCCCAGTACTTGGTGTTATTGGAGCCCAATAATCAACAGAAAGCAACGTCCACAACCCTTTAAATAATATATATATAGTTTTAATATTTAGAAATATTAGAACGACCTAATCTACCTTGTCACCTATTGCATCCTGGACGAGCATGGCATCACTCGAAATGTGATAAATTATATTTTTGTCCCCGGCTTCAATGTCAAAGAAGTCAATATTCTTCCTCAAAACTGACTGGAGATACTTTAATCGCAATCGAGCTGTTTGCCTTTCACCAGTTTGCATCCAACATGCTACTCCTGGAATTCTCAATACAGACAAAGATGTCATCCCTTACTATCGAAGAAAGCATATCAGCTTTCATTAAAGAGGATATTCATAGACTGCAAAATTTAGCTGAAATGTATAAAACTTACCAGTCCATGCTGATAGCCAAATAACTAATCCAAGATAAAGTAAGTAGAGAGCATACTGCATAGAAGCCATATGAATACCTTAGCAAATTAGCAAGGGGGACAGTAGATCCAAGGTAACAAGAATCAATGTCGAGATGGTGAATTTCACATGCATCCAATTGAAACATTTGATTCAATTCTACAGCTTTAAAAGAAAAAATTAGCAAGTGCAAAATCTTGTCGTGCAGCACCTATCGCAGGGAACAGTTTGAGAAATTAGAAATTAAAAAGAACATTCTGATCATAATTCTATAGTTGCATCGTAAATCTGAAACTTCTTGATCCAAACATGCAGAACTGATAAGGTGGATAAGAAAAGACCATGTTCCTCATAACTAAGTGAAAGGAAACATACCTTAGACACCTCAAAAGACGATCTCTGTGGATCTGAAGACAAATTTCCTAAAGAATCAATCATACGACCAAACAATACAAAGAACACCGGAAGCACAGCGCCTTGTATACAAGCTCCAATGCTTCCAGCAAACATCAAAAAATAGTCTATTTTATCAGCTACAGCAAAGAGCCCAAAGAAAGAAATAGTATCCTTCTTGTTTGAAGTTGAATTCGATGGCTGTTCTGCAACTGTAACCTCATCATGCTTTGAAATTTGCTTTGATGAGGATTCAACCTTGTCCATGAGCTAAAATTGTTGATCAAGTTGAAGGTCAAGTGACAGAGAGTTAAAATACGGAAACTCAGAACTAATGAATTAATTTGTCATGGGGAGCTTGAGGAGGGTGGAAGATCTTCTTCCCGCCAATAAATGAGTAATTAGTGGTTGGCAAACCAACTACTCACTTATTTAGGTACCATAATTAAAACCTATCATCAAACTTATTCATGTCTTATTCTTAGTCAAGAAGTTAATGCATATGCCTTTTTGTTATGGATTTGGTCCCAAACCCTACTTTTGAAATCAATAATAATGAGAAAACTAATGAGAAAACGAGCAAAGCACCCACATAGTATGGCGGTTCACCCAATCACCCTCAACATTAGAGTTACGTTCACTTGCCTTTTTTCTTTAAAGTCTCTTGTCCTCATAAAATCCTTTAGATGCGACTTAATACTTGTATAATTAGGCTCCACACAGCTAGTCCCACAATTTTCCTTCCACCAGTATCAATGCTGTGCTCTTTTCCTATGCAGTTGTCACTGGCCTCTCAATTGATGCTAAAGGCATAATTGCTATAATGATGGCCAATAATGGTACCATAGATCACACCAAGGGCTCATAAGAATTGAACTGTAAGAATATGTGAACTAGCTTAAATTTAACCATTTAGGATTATCTTCTCAGAAGTGAAATTTATCGTTTTTACCATTTAGGCCAGTACTCGCATCTTTGCTGGCTTTTATTTTCAGTCTGCAAAGTACATAAATAGCAAAAAATTCGCTGTTCATTCTGTTATACTTGATACTTCTACTTCCACTTCCATTTATTGTTGAGCAGGATATTGGCAATGTACTAGATGACAAATCTAGCTGTCTAGATAGGGACTAGTGAAGCTGCCTTTAGCCATTGCGTGTGATTTCCGCCACATTCTAAGAAACTGCACATGAAGAGTTTATGAAGAGATGGACCCTGTGAAGTGTGAACAAAGTCAAAAGATGTGAAAAATTGCTGCCTAGACATGGAATTGTGTGGACCATACATTAACAAAATGCAGTTGAAGTTAAGACTGAGTCCAGTTGTCTGATAAATTGCTGAAGAATTTAAGTTACAGAACTTACGTGGGATCAGCAAAAGATACCGAATACAGTAACGATCTTTACCTAAAAAAGTAATCCTTTTGGAAGATAGGATGTATACTCCATGTGATGCATTTAATAAAGTTTTCACTGCCCAACAAACTGGAGGAGCATTATTGTGCAACTAAAAGGTCCCTAGTCATCATATCTTACTCTTCCGCCTTAGCTCGTCATGATATAATAGCTCTGTGACTGTCACTAACTAGAAAACTAAATGCTTGACCTCGAGAAGCCTGCTTCTCATCAGTTTGGCTTTTATTAGCCTAAAAGTTCAAGAGTAGGGCGGACGAGAATTCAACTAGAGAGGTTCATAGCAGTGCTGAATTTTCCTGTAACTTAAGACATAATGATGCATATTATTGCCACAGCTATGAGCTGCTCATGATACTGATCAGTGGCCATAATACGAAATAACAAATACACAATGCAATGAGATTTAACACGGCTGCATTCTCAAACTATCACATATTTTCTTCCAGTTGATTGTGGAACTTAATTATTACCAATATTCGGATCCAGTACGAAAATTGACTTTCGCAATAAGGTTGCCGTGGGGGTTGGAAGGGGGTGAGAAGCTCGTCTGCCCCCGAACCAAAATTTCATTTAGAATAGTTTAGAAATTTCAATCTTAGTGAAAAATATTGCAATGACAGACGCATTAAAGTGAACTTATATAAATTTTGCATGTCTTTTTTTTGTTTTTTGTTTTTTTATAGCTATTATATTGCTCTTGTTGATATAAAATTATAATTTCTAACTCTACATATTTTTCATGGAAATCACAAAACAAATTGTGATTAATTAAACGAGGATAGCTTGGACGCATTGTTCTAAAAAGTGAGCAGCGCCTAGGCGCAGGTGAAAAGCCATGCCTTGACAGTAAGCGCGAAATAAAGTAGTCAACTGTCAAGTTGACCCCTTAAATTATGATTAGGCGTGTTTTGTTAAATTTTTTTTTATTTTTTACGTTTTCTTAAGCGCTCGTTATTAATTTTTTATTTTCCCTTTTTTAGTCAGCCTTCTATTTGACTTTAGTTCGAGTTTTTAAATGACTTTATCTATACACAAGTAAAAAATGATTTTATTAATAAAGAGTTCGATAAGATTTAAATTACGGTGCATCTATGTTATGCAATTATGATTTTGAGATTTATCGTTTTGTTGAAAATTTCAAAAGTATATATGAAATTCCTATAAATTTATTAAGTAGGACTTGTCTAGTTGAATGTTGAACTATGAAAAATAATTTAGTTTTCCATTTCGAAAACTTGAAAATTGTATAATTGACAAATTATAAGAAATACTAAGTAAATATATTATTTTATAATTTTAGAGGTTTTGTATATATTAGTTTAATCATTAAATAATTTCTAGAATAATTAAAAATTAAAAATAATATTAAAAATAAGAAAATCATTTTTACTTCTAGGCTTGTAAAGCTTGAAGTTTGGCCTCTACATCTAACCACGCTTTACATTTTTTAGAGTACTCAGTACTGCTTGAAAGTCAACTTGTAAGCTCTTCTCGCACCTCATTTTGTCGCATTATAAATGCTCAAGTTTTTTTTTCCTTTTTTTATTGATGTACAAGGAAGTAAAAAACCTTAATTATGATTCAATTTTTTCTTTACGGAGTTATCTTAATCTACTTCTAGACCTGTAAAGTGTTACAATTATTCAAAATGACATTTATACAGAGGAATCGAAGTTGGGCCCTTTTTGTGGACGAAATGGTGATTACACATTTTGGGCATTGGGCCTCATTTAGGCCTTTTTTGTGGATGAAATGATAATTACACGTTGAGAAAATTACACAAAATCAGAATTTTAAAGTTCCAATTTCAAATTTCAGATATAAATGATATTTATACAAAAATAAGATATTAATTAAAAAAAATTAATATTTAATAATTAAATTATAAAATTAAATTAATATACAGCCACCATACCCAATATCCCATCCAAAACCTTAAATCATTTTCATATTCTCCTATTCCTTATCTCATTTCTCTAACATTTCATTTCTCTATTCCATATCTTTAT